TCCTCCCTGCTCTCCGCGGCCTCCACAGCCTCCCTGGGCCTCCGGGAACCCCCGACGAGTCCCCACGCGCAGGGACGAGCTTGTCCGCGGCAGCGTGGCGTCCGGGCGGCGCGAGCACGGGGACCGCGGGCACCGCGAGGACAGCACCACGTGCGCGGCCGCGTTCAGGAAAAATCCTACGGGGGCTGGGAGCCGCTGGCCCGGGTGTAGACGGCGCACGGGGACTCAGCGCAGAGAACACGGGCGTGCGGCGACAGCACACAGCAGGCCGCGTGCGAGTACCGCAGGGTGACACGTTCAGGGGACACCGAGAAAGCGCGGACACAGGGGTCACAGACAGCCCACCACCCCAGTGCGTGCACCTGCGGGCCGCACGCGGACGGCTGACGGGGGGCGGGGCGAGCGTGACAAGCAGCACACCCGGAGAGTGCCCACCTGGAGCTAGCTCGCCGTGCACGAGATGCACGCTCAGCCCGGAGGGAGCACGGCCTCGGAAACACGCGGACGGCACCCCTACGCGGTGGGGCGCACGCGGGTGACACACAGCAGCCGCCCTTCACCCCGCGGGAAGTTCACACGGCGCGCGCGCGGCTAAGCTGCAGGCAGGTCCCGCAGGTGACACGGGCCGGGAGAGCTAAGCCACAGCGACAGCACGGCCGTGAGCCGGACACAGGCTGACACCGGTGCCTGGACTCACGTGCAACGGGAAGGACCAGACACCGGCGCGAGCGTCCCTTTCGACCTGACGGTGGGACGGTGTGGGCCAGCCGTGTTTGGAAACCAGGCTGTGGAGCAGAGAAGGGCCCTCAGCTGGTCTGCAGTGCTGGGTCCTGCGAGGGAGATGGGGGTGCGGGTCTGAGTCCTCCTTAGTCCGCCACGTCCCCGGTCTGAATCATTACCGTTCGGGCTTCCACAGAGAACATCAGCACGTTTAGGTAAGATGGTCCTCGTGGGTGCGTCTCTCTTCCCAGCTTCAGTGGTGCGATAAAGATTTGCCCTGAAGCCTTTATCTGTTAGATAAAAAAGCTTACGTGGAAGTTCCCGGTCGCCTTCCTGCATAAATCCTCCCTGGCTGCATCCTGCCACCGACATCCACCGCTGCCCCTCCCCTGATCCGAAATGGAGCTTCCCTGGGACTTCGAACCTCCCAGCTGCTGGGTGGAGAACTCCGGGATCCTGGGAGGCCCCGGGTATCCGCAGGGGTTGGGATGAGGGAGGGGCGTTAGATGAGGACACCCTCAGGTCCCTGGCATCCAGTCCCGGCAGCTCAGAGAAAAGCCAGGCCCTGGCCCTCACAACGGGTGCTGGTGGAAAGGTGGGGAGCGAGGCTGCCCTCGGACTCTCCGTCCTGGGACCGGTTCTGTTCTGCACCTTTGAGGTGCCCTCGAATGCTCCCCCTGCCATGGGTCAGGACTCACAAGGGTGGGCATGACTCACCTGGCTGGACCAATGGGGGAATCAGTCCCTGGGAAGTGGTGTCACCGGCTAGGTCCCCAAGGGGAACCCTCACCCAGGACGGGGCAGGAGGATGTTTTCCTCTGAGGCCCCTCTGAACCAAGCTCCTGCCCTCCCCTTTCCTTCACGCTGCGCACAGAGTAGCGGGAAGGGGGAAGGATCCTGGAAAACCATTAAATTTCCAAGCATTTTTCCAGGTTTTCTGATGCTAGGCACTGGCTGGAGCCCAGGTCTGTAGCTTGGACCCAGAGAACCATGACCTGTCCCTGGCAGAGATGGTCACCTGGGGGTGCATGGCCCCGGACTGGGTTCCTTGGGAAGTGAAAGCCCCTTTTGTATACCTCCATGACGTCCCCAGCTCGGCGGTGATAGGACGGGGATGCCCCAACCCTTTAAGCCCAGACCCCAGATCCCCCAGGGCTGCCCCACCCTGGGACAGGCTTGGGAGCTGGACCATGTGATTCGGATAGTTCTGCCCAAGCTCACCCTCAGCTCTGCTCCCACAATGTCGCTGGTCCCAGTGCACCTGGCAGAGCAGAGAAAGCTGAGAAAGCAGGCTCTGTGTGAATTCAAAATATATGGAGGCTTTGAGAAAACATCAAAGCCCGTTCCGGTTTTCAAGAACAAAATGCGTGTTCTGGGAACGTCACTGCAGGGACCTTGTGTTATCAGCACTGAGCCCTCCTAACGACGCCTGCATCCTCAGGTCTCACGCGAGATCTTACTGCAGACTGGCACCTGCCTTAGTTTTAATGAGAAGCTCATAAAGTCCGAGTGTATTTAGAGGGAAACAGGACACCATTCTCTCCTCTGAGGATAATATGCACTAGTTAGAGCCCATTTACTGCAGCCCAGGGAGTGTACGACAGCTCACATGTCCCCTGTGGACCTTGCTGGGGCTTTGTCACTGGCTGCAGGTGCCAAGTGGGTCCAAAGACGAGTGCTCTCCTTGTCAAGTGATCAAGAATATGGACTGTGTACAGTCCCCAGACGGCTGTGGTCCAAGGTGTAGCTCCCAGCTCCCCACTGCAGCCCTGAGTGCTCGGACGGCTCCTCGCAGCCTGTGCAGCAGCGGGATCCTCGGCCCTGGACTCTCTGGGATGTCACCACAGTCGGGCACATTTTCCCAGGGAAGAAACTGCCCCTGAGTGGCCAGACATTCCACTCATCCGTTCATCTATCACATTTTCTGAGGAGCCAGGCTCTGTCATTGGTATTAAAATGAATCTGCAATACAGACTCATCCTCTGCCTTCAGCTTCACTGCTGGAGAGGGATACAGAAAAGGGATAACTAATCTAAAAACACAAAACTGCAAACTGCAATGTATGCCAGGACTGAAGATTACTGAGAACTTGGGGAATGTATAGAAGGAGCTTTAGAGAGCTGACATCTGAAACCTGCAGTCGAGGACAGGGCATTCCGTGCAGAGGGAACAGTAGGTGCTAAGTCCCTGAGGGGAGAGGATGCTGATTCCACAGATCCATTGCTCAAGTACCTGGTGCTGCATGAGGCTCATCGTGATCACATGCAGTTCTCGCTGCTGTATGTACGGCTCCCCATTTGGTCCTCAGTTCAGCATTAACAGTGAGGACAGTGATGATTTTAGTCCTACCGATATCCCCATATCATACGTGAGGATATTGACGTTCATGTGGATACAGAGCTGGCCAAAGGTCCCAGCGCAAGAACGGCAGAGCCACGATCAGAACCAATCCACGTGGCTCCCTGTGTTGAGCTTCTTTAAGATGGCTCGGTGTAAACGTGTGCTCCAAGAGGAGATAGAACGCGGTTGCCAAGATACTGGGTGTGGGCCCAGAGCCAGGTTGTGAGGCTTTGCAGCTGTTTTGTCTGTCCGGACCCTTTCTGTTATGAGCAACAACACACCTACACTAAGTCAGCATAAGTAAAAAGATAAATTATTGGTGCACATAGCTGGAAAGTCTATCTTGATTTCAGGCCTGCCTTGATCCAGGGGCTCAAGTGACATCAGCAAGGTCCATTCCTTTCCTGTCCTGTGCTGGCTCTGTCCATGCTCTTTAACCTCCTCTGATTCAAGGTTCCACAGTCTCAGGAAATGCTGACTGCCTCTTCACAGCCATTCAAACAGAGGCCAGGGTTTCCTCTGCGGGGGCCAGGGAGTGCCAGCCTGAGGCACATGCCCTTTCCTGAACCAATCACTGTCGCTCAGATGGAAGCTCTAAGGGGCCCAGAGCAGTGTCACATTTGGAGTCCTGAGCCAGAGGAGAGGCTCCAGACGTGAGTGGAGGTTTGGAGATGGAAGAGGAACCGGAAGCTCGAGGTACAGCAAACCCCACTCTCAGACCCTCAGGGTAGGGGCTGGTTTGTACCCTGACCCCGTACACAGAGGGCAAGGAATGATGGACGACAGAGGCGGCCACTCCAGATGGGCAGGTGGCAAGGGAACTTCCATCTGAGGTTTGTCTTGGCCACAAGACGAGGAGATCTCTGCCATGCCCCCCAAATCCTAAAGTTTATGGAGCGCCTTTAGCGCCCAGAGGGTCTCAGCCCCACATCACTCTTTCAAGGCTGCTCTCTTGGAAAAGGCTCTCATGGTAAGAGCAGTGGGCAGTCGGCGCAGTCCAAGGACGGGAGAGGGTGGGGAGCCTCTGGTTGCCTGGGGCCAGCTCTAAGGTTAGCCGGGGTCACGTCCTCCGACACCCTGCTCCTACAGCGGGGAGGCGGTCTCTGCCCAAAGAAGAGGGTGTGTACCCGGGCAGGTAGAGACCGTGGCCCGGGGGAGGGGAGGATGGCCCCCAGGACACAGTAGCCCTTGTGGCAGGAAAGCCTGAGACGGCCCAGAGTTCCCCCGGGCCCTACCCACGGAGTGCTCAGGCTCAGGTGGGCCAGAAACCCTCGGAGTCCAAGGGAGGGGGCTCTACGCCAGTGGCTGGCGAAGTGGCTGCCCGGGAGGCTTTAAAATGACTGGGTCCTGGCTCTTGCCCTCAGACGTCTTGGTGCCGTTGGCCTGGGGCACAGCTTGGAAATCAGGTTCTTGAATCTCCCCAGGTGACTCGTGTGGAGCGGAGACTGATCCACAGACAGACATTGTCTTCATGCACAGACGGCATCTCCGCACCCCAAAACCACCTGGGGGGCCTGCTCTGTGTAAGACTGTTCATTCCACCACCCACTTGACTCTCTGTTGATTTTTTCACATCCTCCCTGGGCCTTCCTCTGGGGGACAAATCAGTGTCTGACCTGGACAGCCACCTTTTTCTTTTGCTGATTTGCTAAAGATTTTCTGGGTGGTGCTGAGACTGTGGTTGGAGTTACATGGGTCCTCACCTTTCTAAGGCTGGCCAGAGAGTGACCAAGAGATGGCCACGCAGTTAGCCCCCAGGGCCACCCCAAGCACATCACATGCAGCTGGCCAAAGTTACTTCCTCCACCTACATCAACCCGTCCGTGCATCAGTCCATCCTGCATCCCTCCATCCAGCCGCCCACAAGGACCCGTTTCTGATGGACATTTCTGCAGAAGTCTTTGTGGAGGGAGCTGATGGTGCCGGAACCAGATTCATCCAGACCCGCACCTCCCAGGAAGGAGATGGAGGTACGGTCTGAATGACCAAGTATGATCATGACGGAACATGTTTACTCAGAACTGACCGGGACGGGGTGTTGTGCAGTCAGTTAATTTAGATGCAGAAATTCAGATGAGCCTGAATTCTTTTAAAAAAAAGTGCCATGTTTGCATGGTCTCAAAATTTGAATCTGCTTCATATTGGGTTGACGGGGGTGGTTCCTGAAAATGTCTCCCAGCTACATAATGAGTCAGAGCACCAGGTTGAGCAGGTTCAAGTGTGGATGGAGAGGACAAGCCAGGATGGGAGTCAGTGAGGGTCCAGGCCCGTTAGCACCGTGCCCCGTGATCTGGGATACAGATGTACACGGTAAGTATTCAGCAGTGACCTGGCAGCATGGAGGTATACAGTAGGTGCTCGGCAAAGGCCTGGCACCACAAATGCATACAGGAAGCGCTTAGGGATGGTCCAGCACTGTGGGTATATGCAGTACATGCTCAGTGACTACCTGGCATCATGAATGTACACGGTAGGTGCTCAGTGATGGTCTGCTGGGTTTGTCTCCATAGCCAACGGCTCCGCAGATGCTTGGAGGGGTGCCAAGATATGGGAAGGGGACATGCCCTCCAGGTAAGGAAGGGCTTTTCAAGCTGTAGCACCTGCAGTGGGGAAGTCACCTGAGGAGGTGTCTGAGCCGTGCCAGCCAGGCCCCCGGAGGCTCTTACGAGTCACAGGCTGCATCCCAGATGACCTGCTGACACACCGCTGCACGCACTGAGCGCCTACTCTGTGCAGGCCCTCCTCTGCGTACTCTTCCACTCAACTGAGCAGCACAAGGTCAGGGGCCCGTCTCTCCATCACGGGGGAACACATTTATTCATACAAGAAAACCATTTGAAGTAGGCTGCACTTTCAGCAGCATGGCACCGAATGAATACAACTCGGAAGTCCTGGAGCTGCTGTGGATGCCCACATAGACGCCCCCAGTGCGAGTCTGCGGGGAGGAGCCTAGCGACCGCTGACTGTTAACGGCCCCTCAGATGACTCTGGCCTTCTGCAGAAGAAACCATCATCGTCCAAGGGGGTGTTTAATGACTTGAGGACAAAGTCATGTATTACTGAACAAAACTGGGTTATAGCAAAGTGCACAGAGCGAGCTGAGTCTCCTTTAAGAGACGGACCTCGGGGCGCCTGGGTGGCTCAGTCGGTTAAGAGTCTGCCTTTACTTTGGCTTTGAGCGCGATCTCATGGTCCCCGGATCGAGCTCTGCGTCGGGCTCCCTGCTCAGGGGAGAGTCTGCTTCTCCCTCTGCCCCTATCCCCCGCTCATGCATGTGCTCTTTCTCTCTCAAATAAATAAAATCTTAAAAAAAAAAAAAAGATAGTCCTCATGTGCAGACACACATTCCAATTTCTCGCAATCACATGCACAGGCGTTCCCCACACCAAGTGCATCCAGCGGTTCCCTCTGGGGAATGCAACGAGTGATTGTTTTTCCTTTTATTTACACATATACTTCATTTCTTAAAACAGTTTGGTGAAGGTATTTAATGTTTAAACTTTAAAATTTTCTACAGTATTTTGTGATAAAATAATTATTTTTAGGAATAAGAGAAGACTTTCCGAACACAGTGGCTGGCAACTGGGCACCTGGGAATGTTCAGACCAAGTGGGAAAGACTTCATACCCTAATTGGAGCTGTGGCCATTGAGGAGATCGGAAGCCGATATAAAGAAATACATCGAGCAAGAGTTTGATGTTCACAGGTGGTTGGGAAATTGCTCGAGCATCTCCTTTAAAAAATTGTTTTAAACCAAAAATAATCGTGCTTTTGGCGTAAAGGTAAAATGTGATTCCTTTTTCCCAAACACCAACAAGCGTGATGATGTTCTGCTCAGCAAGTGACAGAAATCTCTCAGGGGCGGGAAGAGGGCACAGGCAGAGGCACCCGAGGATGGGTGCCAGAGACCAGGTGACCCAAGGAAGTGGGGTGCTGAGGAGAGGCCCCTGAGGACCGGGGGGCGCCCAGAGAGGCGGGCAGGAGGTGAGGAGAGTGATCGCTCTGGTTTTAGTCGGACCCACTGCCCTGAGGGGTGTAGCCTCCACAGGGGTGGGTGTGGTGCCTCAG